TGGAAAAGCCCTCTAAGGTTGAGTCCGGACATCCCCCAGCACTGCCCCGTGTCCCCAAGTGCCACATCCACACATTTTCAATCCTTCAGGGATGGGGCCTCCAAACCTCCCTGGGCAGCTGTGCCAGGGCTGGACAAGCCTTTCCACGAGGAAATTTTTCCTATTATCCCACCTAAACCTCTGCTGGTGGAACTTGTGGCTGTTTCCTCTCATCCTGCCACTTGTTTCTTGGGAGAAGAGACCAATCCCCACCTGCTCCAACCCCATTCCTCCCTCTGGAGATCCCAAGGGAGAAGAACAAACAGGAGGCAAACGTGGTTTTCACCAATTTAAGGTTCCCTCGGCTTCCCTTCTGACCAAGAATATTTGGATTCCTTTTAAACAAGGTTTGTTTCTTCATTTCTTATTTCTTTCTCTCGAGATATATTCCTTTTTTTCTTTGTCTTAGATCATCCATCCATCAATCCTGTCCTGCTTCCAGCTGCTTTACAGGTGTTGGAAGCAAGTCTGGCTGAACCTCAGTTCCCTGAAGTCTTTTAATTGATTCTTCCAACACTAAACATGGAATGGTTTGGGTTGGAAGGGAACTTAAAGTTCATCCAGTGCCACCTCTTGACATGGGCAGGGACACCTCCCACTAGCCCAGGTTGCTCCAACCTGGCCTTGGACACTTCCAGGGATAGCACAATTTAAATGATTTTTAAATTAATTAAATTTAATTAATTAAATTATTTAAATTTAATTTAATTATTTAAATGAATTATTTACTACTTTAGTAATTGTCATTAAATATTTGAAGTTTGGGGGGAGTGTTGATGGTAGATCCTTAACCCCAACAATCCATTTTATCCCTTGCCTCCCTAAACATATTCATTGGCACTAAATATGAATAAATTCTCCACTCAGACAAGAAGTTTTCAAGCTTTATCACGTGAAAAGGATACAAAAAAAAACTTCTGCTGGATTTTTCTCTGGGAAAACATTGGCTCAACTTCAAGCAGGTTTTCACAGTTTCTGAGACCACTTTGGGGGGTTTACAAAGCGTTGGTACTTTTATTATTTCTCGTTTTGCCCCCGAGTTCCTCGTGAGGGGGAAAAGCACTGGCTGGATTTCAAGAAGGTTTAGCTTCTGAAAAACACTTTGTGGTTTTTTGCAAAGTATTGATACTGGTGTTTGTTGAAAAGCAGCAACATCTCTTCCTCTCTGAAGCTGGACAAGCTATTTTTGTGTCTCTCTCTCTGCTTTTATTCACTATAAAGGAAGCCTCCAAAGCGAATTTTTAGACTCCTAAAACCCTTTCAAGTGCATTGTATGGATTTTTTGTCTATCTCCAGCGTGGCATCTTTAAAAAAAAAAAAATCCATTCCAGACCCTTTTAGCTGCTCCCCTTTCTCCCCAAGTGGCCCTTTTGTACCTGCAACAACCACAAAGGGCCGGATTTAAAAGCATTCCAAGGGGATCTTGGATATATCTTGAATCCAGGGCCAGTGGAGGCGATGGGAACACTTCAAAAGGTGCCAACCCAGAGCTCCAAAGCCTCATTTCACAGCTTATATTTTATAGCCAACCTAGTTCCCAACCCCTCAAGCATTTCTGGTGTCCACAAACATTTATAATTGTCACCTGGGAACCACGACTTCCTTCCCCTCCAAAGGTCTGCAACGAGATGAAAAGCCACTGGTTTTATAAATCCCGTTATAAATAGTGCTGCATTCCTCCTGTTATCCATCTGTGTGCTGGTTTAAAGGTAAACCAGCAGGGGAAAATGAACTCGACCCAAAAGAGAGATTGTAAATCAGAATAACAATTTAATAAAATAATACAATTAATATGATTATACAGACAAACAATCGGTTTTAACCCACAAAACCCAAATGTATAACCCAGCACCCTGGGGCAGGAACAGAGTGGTGTTTGTTGGGCCCCCTGAGTCCAAAGAAAAAGGAGAGGGGAAAACCTGTTGCAGTCTGGTTGAAAAGTGGTGGTTGCAGTCCAGTCGAGAGCTGTGGTCTGCAGTTTTCCTCTGGATCCCACGAGTGGTTAAAAAAGTCCCAAGACTCCAAGATTATATATCCTCAGGTTCAGGCAGGGATGCTCAGTCCCTCCCTCAGGGTGGGGGGTTCCTTAATGGGTGCAAGGACAAGAACATCCTCCTATCTTGCAGGCCTCTTAGCGCCCAGTTTATAGCCTGAGGAATCAGGCTCTATGTGCAGATGGTGTCAATGGGGCACCATTTGGGGTGCAGGGGGGCTGCAGAGACTTGGAACAGTGTAAGGCTGGGCTAAGTACCCGTAGCTATGAGCTGGGGGATGTTTCTCCACCGTGAGCAGCAGAAGCAGCAGCAAGAACAGCACTGACGGAGGGAAGGTGGCAGAGATCCAACAGATAAGAACTGAAGAAGCAGCAGGAACAGCACGTAGCCAAGGAAGACACAGAGTTGTCTGAAGGAAAGAGAGCCAGCAGCAGAGAGAGCACAACTAAGTTCTACAGAGAGAGTTTTGGGGTAAGAACTGAACCAGAACCCCCAAACTCCCTTTGAGACCCCCCTCCTAGGAGGAGGGAGATGGACTCTTGCTTGAGAAGATTCTTGGAGTGCTACAGCACTGCAAAGAGAGGAGCTGAGGAGCTCAGGCTTCCTGGAGCTGGACCGGGACAGCAAATGGAATGCAGGAGGGTTCCCCCCCCCGACTCTAAGAGGTGAAAAGATCTTTCCCTTCTTCCCTCCTGGACTTTTATTTGGAGGGAAAGGAGATTTGATCCATTGTAAATACTGTTTTGTCATGGTAGAGGTAGTTGAGATTGTATATAATGTATTGTAGTATTTATTTGTTGCTGAAAAAAGATAAATTTTACGCTGACCTGCGCTGCCTTACCCAAAAGGTGCCTGCAGGTGATAAGATCATTATCCCTGGTGATTTCAATGCCAGAGCAGGTAAGAATTTTGAAGCCTGGAAAGGCATGTTAGGCAAGCATGGTGTTGGAAACTGCAACGATAATGGTCGACTTCTGCTAGAATTCTGTGCGGAGCAACAGTTTACCATCACTAATACTATCTTTCAGCAGAAAAATAGTCTGAAGACAACATGGATGCACCCCAGATCTAAGCATTGGCACCTCATCGATTATGTCTTGGTGCCACGGAGGGATGTCCACAATGTCCTCCACACCCACATGATGCCCAGTGCAGAATGTCAAACAGACCATCGGCTTGTGCGCTGTAAACTCAACTTCAATCTCACATTCAAACCCAAAAGGGGCAGTATCCCAAGGAGAAGACTCCAAGTTAACAATCCCCAATCAGCCACAGTAAGAGAAAGATTCCAGGCAAACCTTCAAACTAGGCTCAAAAACCATCCCACAGATTCTGCAGATTCCTCTCCTGAAACAATTTGGCACCATATTAAAAGCAGCATCCTGCAATCCTCCGAAGAATCCTTAGGGTTCTCCCTCAAGAAGAACAAGGACTGGTTGGATGAAAACAATCAAGAAATCCAGGACTTGTTGAGGAAGAAGAGAACTGCCCACCAAGCACACCTTGCACTGCCATCCTGTCACACAAGAAAAACAGCCTTTCATCTTGCATGCAGCAAGCTCCAACAGAAACCCCGTGACATCCAGAACAAGTGGTGGACCGATCTAGCTGCAAAAACTCAACTATGCGCAGATATGGGTGAAATTGGGAGAACATTAACATGGAAAAGTGAGGAGTATGGAAGGCAAGTGGCTGCTGAAGGAACAGGCATCATTCCCAAGGATTTTAATGGGTTCCTCAGCCGGAGCCTGTGGCAATCCCCCAAGGCTGGATGTGGACGCACAAGCAAGGGCTCTGCAGAGGAATTAGGGATTTGATCCCAGTTATAACTCCAGCTGAAATTATCCCCCTTGGACTCCCCCCCAAGGAAAAACAACTGCTGGGTGGGGATTTGCCAGTTCTGATCATCCCTGGAGGGGGTGAACCCGGAATGGAGGAGGAGGAGGAGAAGGAAGGACACGTTTCACTGGGACCTGGGCAAGGGGTGGCCCTTCATGGGCACAACCAGCAATGGCACTTTGGGAAAGGCATTTTAGCCAAAATCAGCAGGCTGGGAGAGCTGGGGGGGTTCACCTGGAGAAGAGAAGGATCCAGGGAGAGCTGAGAGCTCCTTCCAAGGCCTAAAGGGGCTCCAGGAGAGCTGGAGAGGGACTGGGGACAAGGGATGGAGGGACAGGACACAGGGAATGGCTTCCCACTGCCAGAGGGTTGGGCTAGATGGGATCTTGGGAAGGAATTCCTGGCTGGGAGGGTGGGGAGGCCTTGGAATAGAATTCCCAGAGAAGCTGTGGCTGCCCCTGGATCCCTGGAAGTGTCCAAGGCCAGGTTGGATGAACTTGGAGCATCCTGGTAGAGTGGGAGGTGTTCCTGCCCATGGCAGGGGTTGGAACGAGATGGGTTCTATGGATTTCTATGAGGCCCTGAAAAAAGCATATGGGCCTACATATCAGGTCCAAAGCCCTCTACTCAGCGCTGATGGACAAACACTTCTGACAGATCAAACCTCCATTCTGAATCGATGGTCTGAACACTTTCAGACTCTTTTCAGTACCAACCGTGTAGTCCAAGACTCAGCAATTCAGTCCATCACACAACAACCGGTGAAATACGAATTGGATACTGCCCCCACTTTAGGAGAAACCCTCAAGGCCATACAGCAGGTGAAAATCGGCAAGGCAGCCGGGGTTGATGGAATTCCACCCCAAGTCTGGAAACGTGGGGGCCTTGAACACCATGCTAAATTTCACGAGTTTGTGGTGCTCTGTTGGGAACTAGGCGAACGTGCAGCTGGACCAGGTGGCCGAGCCTGAGAAGGTGCAAAGATCCCAAATATCCCTCCTGGATCAGCAGGAAGAGCGGATCCACCAGCTGGAGATGGAGCGGCGCCGCCTCCACGATGACATCCAGGAGCTCAAGGGCAATATCCGCGTGTTCTGCCGTGTGCTGCCGGAGGAGTCGGAGCCACCCAGAGCTTCCCAGCAGGAAATATTCCAGGAGATCCAGCTGCTCGTCCAGTCTGCCCTGGACGGGTATATCCCGTTTGCATCTTCGCCTATGGACAGATGGGAAGTGGCAAAACCTTCACCATGGAAAGGCTGGAACCACCCAGAGATCCTGAATCCCGCGGGATGATCCCAAGGGCCTTCCAGCACCTCTTCCACAGCACCCACAACAAAGCTGGGAGTACTGGTTTTCTGCCAGTTTCCTGGAGATCTACAACGAATCCCTGTGGGATCTGCTGCTCCCAGAAGGGGAGCGTGGAGCGGAGCTGGAGATCCGACGGATTGGCCCCAACACCGACCAGCTCCATGTGCCCAACCTCACCTGGGCGCCCGACCTCACCTGGGTGCCCAATCTCACCTGGGTGCCGGTCACCAGGGAGGAGGAGGTGCTGGAGCTGCTGCAGCGAGCGGGTTCCCAGCGTTCCGTGGCCCGGATGGGGCTCAATGATCGCTCATCCCGGAGCCATTCCATGTTCCAGCTGCGCATCCACGGGGAGCACCAGGCCAGGGACCTGCAATCCCACTCCTTGCTGACCCTGGTGGACCTGACGGGCTCGGAGCACCTGGAAAAGTTGGGATCTGTCAGGAATCGGCTCCGGGAAACCCAATCCATCAATTCCAGCCTCAGCGCCCTCGGGCTCATCATCGAGGATCCATCCCTGATTTGGATCAGGGACCTGTGTGCCAAGGGATTCATCCCCACCGCCCTTTTTCTGTCCCAAAATGCTTCCCCCATTTCCAGCTGCCGTGGAATTGGAGCTTCACTCATAACATTTCCCCCTGGGATTAACCTCCTGGAGCTCCTGCAGTTGGATTTCACAGGGAAAATAAGCAGGATTTCCTTGGAAAACGTCACCTCCCAACTGCTCAAACATCAGTCACCTCAAGGGTGAGGAGTTTTTGAGAAACTTTCACTTCCTTTCTGGCTTTTCCCGAAGGGAATGGGAGGTTTTTTTCCTCACCCAGGGGCTCTATTTTCATCAGATCTCCTCCCAAATTACGCCTGATTTTATGACAACACCTCTCAAAGCAACTGATATTCTGCAAGACAGTTCTACATTAATTAAACACACTAATATTTCCCAGACCTTTAAAACCATGCTCCCGGGCTGGCAGGGAAAGCCATTTTCCCTGGAGAGGGCTTGGAATCCCTCAGGAATTAACCAACCACGGCAGGCTGATACAATTCTCCAGCTGTTCCACGTGAGCAACAACACTTTGTCCAAATATTCCTCTGCCTCCTCCCACCATATGTTACATTTCAGCAAATTATATTTTTCAACCCCCCCCCAATTTTAAAGCTCTTCAGTGGTTTGAGGAGGAGAGAGAGCTGTGAGAGAATAATTGATTTCTTTGGTTTGTTAGTCAGAGCAGTGACACTCACTGAGGGCAGAGAGGAACTCGCTCCAGATTAAATGAAACATCTTGTTTTGGCAGCCCAGAAAATCAGAATAAATTCAGGAGCAGAATTGCCCGAATTGCAGGATTGCTCCCAGTGCCACCTCAGCTCAAACCCTTTTCTACTTGATCGCTTCAGATGTTTGAGCCAAACTCTCTCTCTCTCCTGATTTTCATCCAAAATTGTCCTCAAAAAAACCCACCAAACAACCTTGAAATATTTTCCACTGTTTCTTAATCCCTCTTCTGATGGATTTTTGTTTAACCCTGGCTGGAGTCAAGACCTGGCAGGGCTCTACCCCAGGGAACTGCTGATGCTCCTTCACAGGCTCAGTAAATGATTGGCTGCTTCACATAACTGAGCAAAAGACACCATCTTTCAACAGATAACATGGAGAATTTACTCAGATAAAAATGTGATTTTGGTTCAAAGCCTGACTCAAGTACAGATCTGAAACAGAATCCTGGATTCATCACAGAATATTGGAATGGGTTGGGTTGGAAGGGACCTTCAAACCCAGCTCATTCCATCCCTTCCATGGGCAGGGACACCTTCCACCAGCCCAGGTTGCTCCAAGTTCATCCAACCTGGCCTTGGACACTTCCAGGGATCCAGGGGCAGCTTCTCTGGGCCTCCCCACCCTCCCAGCCAGGAATTCCTTCCTAATATCCAATCTAAACCTCCTTTCCTTCCCAAGATGCAGGGAAACAAGCCCCTCTCATGTGTTGGAAGCTCATAATTTGAATCCAGAATCCACATTTCAAGCCTCCACACGTGGGTTCCAGCAGACCCAGATGGAAAACGCTGACAGAAAAATTTCATTATTCCAGAGCAGCTGAGCACGAATCAAATCCACCCATGAATCTTGCTGGGCATTTGTGGGAGGATTTTCCAGCTCAAGTTTCGAGTTGTGTCCTCAGGAGGAAATAAAGCCAGGGAAGAGCTGCTCCCTGTCCCAGAGTTCCAACTCAGGTCTGTGTTCTTACACTTTCTCATCTCAGGAAAACCCTAAAACCAGCAAAAAAACCCCAAAACCAGCAAAAAAATCCCCCACACTGCCCTGAGAAACCCAGATCTGCCCCACAAAGCTCTTCAAAGGACACGACAACATCCACACCACAAACACAGAAGGGCCTCCCAAAACCTCCAAGGTTCCCCAACCCAGAACTTACTCAGATAAAAACATGACTTTGGTTCAAAGCCTGACTCAAGTACAGAGCTCAAACAGTATCCTGGATTCATCACAGAATCATGGAATGGGTTGGGTTGGAAGGGACCTTCAAACCCAGCTCATTCCACCCCCTGCCATGGGCAGGGACACCTTCCACCAGCCCAGGTGGCTCCAAGTTCATCCAACCTGGCCTTGGACACTTCCAGGGATCCAGAGGCAGCCACAGCTTCTCTGGGCCTCCCCACCCTCCCAGCCAGGAATTCCTTCCTAATATCCAAT